GAGAAAAGTGGCTGAAGAACTTTGTGAATATTGAAAAATTGGTGAAATATTGCCGTCACTTGAAAAGGAGAGACGGACTGTAAAATACGATCATCCTTATAGGATGGCAATGGAAGAGGGACACAAAGGAAGCTTACGACAGGCCCAGTGACCAGCATTAGATTGAGAACGACTCCAATAAAGCTCATGAAATCCAGCCTGCCATTTTGATCTGACACTGTCGAAGAGAACTTTGTTAAAACATGTTTTCTCGTCACGCCTTTTATTGATCATCACAGACACCTAACAAGGCTAATCCAACGGTCTGATGCAGCACAATGGCTGCGCTCGCTTTTTAAACTACTTGGGGCAGGTAATGTTGCTGTGGTAGGTGGTCTACTTCCTCCATTACTTGCAGCACGCTGTGATGTACAACTCTCCAATCCATTGCCCATACTTACCGCAGGGACCATGACACGTTATCTTGCTGTCCCCAAACGTGACTGGAGTGATATAGGTGTTACTGGCAGCATACATCTTCAGTGCTCGCATGTAACCAGAGGAGCGAAAGAAGCCCGCCGGACATGGTCCTTTGGCGAGAATGCAATAGTGGCCTGGAGGCCATTTGCCTACAAGAAGGAAATAGAATTTGCTCGGTTAATAATGTACGTAAATCGTGCTGGAAGAAGTAGTTCTCTCGCGCTGTTTTGGCAGAAAGTTTTTTAGGTGTTTTTCCGAAGGGAGGTGTAAAGGTTAACTAAGAGACAGTTGTGGGGGATGCTTAACTATTTCTGAATCTTGAAAAATTTAAAGCAAAATAACGTTTTTAAGTTCGTCATTTGCAATCTGTTAAATTCTTCTTAATTCTTTTCAGTTTTCGTTGTTATTCTTTTTTGTGTGTGTTATTGCCTCTTTTGTGTTTAATTTCCTACCGAACAACTGTTTTAGTCTCTCAAGGTAAGAAAACCTCTAGACACTGTAAAAGGTGGAAACATTACTCAGAACATCGTGACACGTAGGTCCTGGCTGGCAATATGAACCTTGGATTTGCTTAGGATGTGGATTATACACTTAGGTGAGAACTGAAATTGTCGTTAATTTTTGCGATCTAGTCAATGAGTTCCTGTCTCACTGTAATTTGCGACTAAGCTTACTGACTATTTAAGCTAGGCGAATCTTGGTTAGGGAGGCTGATTTTAAGTGACATGAATGATGTGCTCGGTTAGGTCGAGCAAATACTTGTTGAGTTAGTGGAGTCCATCTTTAAGCAAAGCTCATCGGGGGTTAGAAGCTAAGACAATTATGCAGGAGGTACAAGTGTTGGGTTGGATTTTTTTTATTGTTTGATCCTTTTTTTTTTGCAATTTAGTTCTTGTCCTTAAAAACTTCCAGTTCTCAAAACTTAACTTTCCATTTGGAATGTAGCATCACTATTTACGAATTCGTCGTCCCCTCCTCAAATATGCGAAATAGCAGGCCCTGAATTAATCGAATGATTCCAATTTGGAGGAACAACAATTCTACGAGCAATATGAAAATATGCATCGATCTGCTGTGAACATTCGCTGCAGAGGAGTGCAAACCTACCAATTGCTTGCTGCAACTGTTGCTTCGTCTTTTGGAGGTCGTTCTTAACACTTTGCAGCAATGTCTCTTGGCCATGGAGATAGGCTGCTAATGCAGGCAAACATTGAGGTATTCCCTAGATGAAAAAAAAAAAATCAAATCTGTTATCATGATGTTTTTGATGTTCAGAGCAGATTCTCATCTACACACTTGCAAGATTCTTGTTCATACGAATTCAATATGGTATACAACTTGCAAATGGTCGACCGGATGCTTTAGTTTTATAAACTTGTCATTTAAAGAGATTTACACTAGATCTCATACTCACATTGCCATGAGCGGGGATGGAATGGGCGAAGAAGCAAAGAATCACAACAAAGATGAACAAGACAAGCTTCATGGCTTTTCAGTAGTGGAACAAACCTGACTCAGATATTTACGAATCGTATCAATAGATAGACAACAAAATGTCGCGCACAGGAATTGATGATCTCCCCCATATATTCCTTCCTCGTGGTGAAGAAAGGCTTGTTATAACTGATGAGTTTAGGAAAATAAACGGTTTTAATGGATTAAAATTTTAACAGCTTCTTGTGTTTAACTTTCAAATGAGCTGATGACTGGATTATGTTTGCCTTAGGGCTTAAAAAAAAAAAAAAAAACCATCAGCTTGGGATAAGCAAACAACTGCAAAGTGAGACTAATTAGCAATTATGGTGAACAGAATCACCTTTCATGACCTTTTTATAACTTTTCGTACTTTTTTTTTCGTCAAGCTTTCATTAGTTTCAACAACATCAAAAATGATGAAATTGGTTTAATCGGTGGTGAGATTTACCACTCAGTTCTTATGAAACTTGCAACAGATGGGAGAACGAAACAGCCATTAGCCAAAACAAAACAAATAATAAAAAAAACAAATATTACAATGAAAACAGTACCAACAAATCAGAGCTTGATCTGAATTTAATTAAATAAGTCAGCGACAGCTGACCTGACATAGACGAAAAAAAATCTGAGGCAACTGATTTTGTCTCATTCTATTGACAAACTACAATTGAAGAGTCGAGTAAGAGAATTTGATGAGGAAAAAAATCATGTTATTCCCAGAGCATCTCAATAATATTAATCACCGCCTGGTTAACTGTAGTTGTAGAGCGCTGGACTGCTATGTGGGTCCCTCTGGGTCTTAAAATAACTAAGGAGAATGTGCTGTTTTGGTTCTGACATCTACTATTGATTCAAAGTTCTAGTCTTCTCGGACGAAAAAATCGAAGGCTCCGTGTCCTGCATATTCTCTCCAAAGATTATTAAGGGACGTAAAAACCCCACACACTTTTCGCATGGGTTAGGGGACGTAATTCCTGGTGCTGTATCCTTGCCTTTTTACAAAGATTCCTAAAATAACAATTGTAAACTGCTAAATTAAGTCTGGCCAAAGTCCACTGCAAAGTGGTGGGCTTTGGCCAGAACATCATCATGAGGAGAGTGCGCGATATAAATGCATCATTAACATTATTATTATTATTATTATTATTATTATTATCATCATCATCATTAGTGGCTACTATTGACATACGGTCGATCCATCACGTCGGCTGATCGCACCAAAACATAAATTGGAGAAGCTCATTAGGGTTCTAAAAAATAAATATTTTCTAGGTCGGTTTAGAATATTTCCTCAGCTTTATCGACTGTAAGAATATCCAGCCCAAACTGCACCACAAAGAAAACTGCCCCATCTAATGCTGTTATTTAACTCAAAGAATAGGGATGAGGGAAAAGGGAAAAGCCATTCGGGAACGTCACTCTTTGAACTAGACTCCTTTATCCTACGGACTCGCTAGACAGTCTTGTAATCTTTCCCCGATCGATAAAATATTTATTATCGCGTTGGTTTGACGTTCCATTTCTCAAAACAGAAGTAAGCACCCTGTCCCTAATAAGCACCCGGTTTCGAATAAGCGTCCTCCCTTCAGGTACCAAAAATAACTAAGCGCCCCTTAATTTCTCTCGATAACCCGGCTTGTCCAAACACTAACACGCCAACTTTTGGACGAGGAGTTTAAGTCTAAGTAGCCAATATTTCAGCCGTTTAACAGAAGCATATAATTTTACGTTCATCAGTCGCGGGGAATCACGCGTGAGGCGAGCATAGAGGGCAAGCTCACGCGCGATATTTAGCGGGAGTCCGTCCGGTTCAGTTGATGCCTGGTACCGTAACACGAGTAAGCCTGGCACTAGCTGATTAGGAAAATAGCCAAGATGGCGGACGATACGAAAGAAGAAACGAGTGTGTTGGAAGGTTTGCTATCCACCAGTGATCACCTGGAATCACTAGAATCACTAGATCCAGCTTTCACTACAAACACCGGATCATTTAGGCAAAGACATGTTTCGGATTCAGTAAGTTTGGCTTCATTTTTCCATTTTAGATACAAAAGCAAATTGTATATTTGGGTAACAAAAACTAAACTACAGAAAACCCGGCTAGTTACAATGATTTGGCTGTTAAAGTTAGCCACTATTTGGAGAGCGCCATACCGACATTTCTCTCAATCGAAGACACTGACGTCTTGTATGCGTTGAGAGCTAGGCCAGAAATCATTGCAGTTTGTGTGATGTGGCCATATCTTTGTACCTTGCCTTCAGCCTTGCCATTCAAGAGGTGTAAGGAACTCGAAACAGAGT